CAATTCCAAAAGAGGTATGATTGTTGGGAAGGCCAGTGCTTGCTTTTTCGTGTGTGAGGTTTCCTTAAAAAACGTGTTTCGATGCCTTAGATTACTCAGAGCAATTAGTTTCTCGCAACTGATTAATGTGACAAACTTATAGAACGAAAAGCATCCGGAACACATCCATATAACTTTCTTCCTTCGACATATGTTGCACTTGCAATTTTGTTTTATTCTCACTGAATATTCTATGTTCTTACAGGGAAAAACTCATGCGAGTAGAAGATCTCATAAACAAATTGCAGAAGGTGCAAAATATGAGCGAGAAAAACCAGGAAGAGTTCCGAAAGGTATATTTATAAATTTAACGGCGAAGGTTTCTGCTTCTTCTTGAAACGGGGCAGAAGTAAAGTGAGCCGAATTCTGCTAAAAGTTTCCGTAATTTTCTGATAAAAAAGTGCAACAGAATGTCCAGAAAAAGTAAAAAACGTAAAATTTAGATATTGCAAGCGCTCGATGATGACAATGATGGTGTAATTGATGCTGACCTCGTTTTGCGCGTAAGTTTTATACTTATAAAACTTGAATATGTAGCTTTTGTGACATTATGTAATTGGGGCATGGCGCACCAGTTTTTCCACTGCTCCTCAGGGCAGAGAAGCAGCGGAAAAACAGTTTCCTCTACAATTTCTCCTTGTTTTCTATGGTAGATTGATATTGCCCCGTGCCAGGAAATCAGAATCTTCATCGGAGCTTACTGAAGAGAAAACCGTCGATATCCATGCTAGCAGTGAACCAGGGTTCCGGTTTTTTGGGTATTCTAGCGAACACAATCCTTACTTTTCTTCGATGCAATCCGCACCATCAGCAGTGACACGGCTAAATTTTGCGTTTGGATGTATTAATTCACTTTTTCACTTGGACCACTCTTGCCTGTACCTCGTTTCTTTCAAAATAAAGAAAGCAGCTGCCTTAGCCAGCTTCACGGCTGGTTTTAAGATGGGTTTGTTTGAATGAGATTTACGTTTCCGTCACTTTTATATTATATTAGAATTCAGCAGTTCTTGAACATGCGAAAATAAAGCCTGTCCCTGCGCGATTCCCCTCTGATTTCTTTTCTCTCCTCAGAACCCTCTTTGTCGCACTTTTACAGATAATCCTTTTTGTCCAGAAAATCCCTTCTACAGACAAGCGATCAGTTACGGAAAACGGGAGTGTTTCATTTGTAGATATTTTAAAAATTTCTGTTTCAGGCATTGGATTTATTCGGCAGTCACAAAGATCTTCGACTGACAACCGAACAGATCAAAACAATTGTGGAAATGCTGAAGAAAGAAGAGCAGGTGGAAGCAATGCAGGCTTTTATTTCCGGAACTGTGCCGTATCCTCCTATCGAGGATAAAAAAATTCCCTCCACTGATTTTTCGGCTGATCTGACAAGAACTGTTGAGCAAAAGCTGAAGGATTTGCCGCCACTAAAGCCCGAAGATTTACCGCCACCAGGTTTGGGACCGAAGAAGCAGCCTCCGAATGAAAAATGTATTTGATTTTGTTTTATTTCTAAATTTCAACATAATTAGGTAGTTAGCGTTAGAGCGGAGGGAGGAGGCATGAAAAAAGTATTTTTCCTAACTTTTTGTGGCTGCTCAGTGTTTTTATTGCTGATATTGTTCAAATACTGATTTGCAAAGTTCTCTAAATTTACCTGTCGATTACTCCATTGTTGCACTCATTAAGATAGTAAATCGTGAATTCACTTCCGCGTTACATGGAATGCCTAAATCTGGGCCTCACTGAATGAGTTTGAGAACGGTATGCTGTTTTTATCACTTGCAGGAAATGATGCCTTTAGACTGGGCGATCAGGAATTCTCACACCCTCCATTCGCGAATCTCTCAAGAAAGAAGTTGAAAATCCTCGAAAAAGTACCGGCGTCGAAAAAGTACCGGCGTTGATTGTCTGTGTTTTATGTAAAATTTCATTGCTACTCAGGTATTTAGGATCTCATAAAATTGAATAATTTGGCTTGAGTTTTGGCCAAAATACCAAATAGCCTCCATATTTGCAAGTTTACATGAGCAGCAGAACGATTTCGCATATTCAATCAACCTAAAAACATTTCCAAGCATTAGGTAAATCCTGATTTTTAAAAAGCAACATGAAAGGGGAAAGAAGTGAAAACGAATTTTTTAAAAATATTGGAACCAAATAGTTCAAGTCCAGAATCAGAGGAATATGAGTTAATTTTTAGTTTAAGCTCCAATGGTACTCGATTTATCGAAATTACTGTGTAATACCGTCTTATAACGCGTATTTGATTTGTTTGTTTTTTTTTTTTTTGAAATCCCAGTTTGTTTACTCAAAAAGCACACATAATAATAGCTCTTAAAAAA